AAACTAGAAAGCAAATTTAAAAGCAGAAGAAAGCTGTTAATAAAAAGCACATATTAACAGAAGGTACTTTGGTAATATGTGTTAACACCAACTGTTCACACCCTTCAAAGTAGAAGTGCAACTCACAGGTATTTATCCTACAGAAATACCTGTGCAAGCGTGCAGAATAGAATGAATGTTGATTCCAGCATTGATTATGGTGAAGTGTTTATGTCTAGAAAGTATGTGAGATTATTGGAACTTTTCGTTTGAAGTGCATATATTTTATTAATAGAAATTAGGGACACAGGCCAATTGATTAAAAAGTTAGTGAATTAAAGAACAAGAAGTCACATTAATACACAAATCTAGGAGTTGGCTCTCTGAATTACTAAATAGTAGGCAAGCCGTTACCTAGTCTACTTAAATAGATGAAAACTATAAATGAATAAAATTAGTCACTAGAGAAGACTACCACAAATCGAGAGAACATTCAGAGAATTTTGAGAAAACTATGCTAATTGGTATGAAAACCTATGTAAAAAATGGGCCGTCTTAAGGAATACATAAAATACCAAAGTTAAGTAAAAATACACAAAATGCCTAAGTAGGTCAGGGACTTCCCTGGTGATCCAGTGGTTAAGACCACGCTCCCAATGCAGGGAGCGTGGATTTGATTCCTAGTCAGGGAACTAAGATGCTGCATGCTGCACAGTGTGGCCAAAAATAAAAATTCTTAAAAACACTTAAGGAGATAACAGCCATTAGGAAAATTTGAGAAAACCGTCTAGGCGTTATACCTCCAAAGTGCCAGGCTCAGTTAGTTACAAGAGTGACTTAATTTTAACCTTCAAGGGATAGATTAATTCCTCCACTATTTCAAATCTTCTTGAATATGGAGAAGGTCATTTATGAAGCCAAAATGTTATAAAGCTAGCCCAAAGGAAGAAACTACAGGCCAGCCTCACTTAGGAATATTGATTTAAAAATTCTAAATAAGACATTTGCAAAGAGTTGGACACGACTGAGTGACTGAACTGAACTAATGGAACTGAAATAAGACATTCACCAGTCTCAACTTCTTTAGTGCCTTAAAAGAAGTATTGGAGTCAGTGAAATTCAAATTAGTAATGCAAATCATTCACCAGCATTAAGAGAGGAGAAATTGTGGTCGTTCAAAATAAGACTCCCTCCTGACAATGAGAAGGCAAGCCTACTTGCAGGTGGTAGAGTTGTATGTCTGGAAAACTCAAAAGAGAATCGAAATCAGAATGAGTAAGAAAAGAAATAAGAAAATACGTTAGAAATAAGAGTCTAGAAAGAGAGCTTGTAGCAAAACTAATATATAAGGATTGATTGTTTTCTCATATTAATAAAATTGAGAGATTATTCCTTTTTACAGTAGCAATAAAAAATAGCTAAAAATAAATGCATATGGTCTATATTAAGGTACTTATGAAACTATAGCTTTAAAAGCTCACATGCTGTCAGAAGAATACTTCACAACCCTATCCTTTCCCTTACCTCTGGGGAGAGGAACTGGGAGAGGAGGAGGAAGATGGCCTCTTCACTCAATATCCTTTCATAACTTGACTTTTGTACTCATCTCTGTGAATTGCCTGTTTTAAAAAATATTTTTAAGACTGTTTAAATGAATGAACAAAGATAGATAAATGAAGAGACAAACCTTATTTTTGTTAATAACAGCTTTATTGAGGTAAAATTTTCTCTACAATATACCCATTTGAAGTGTACAATCCAATGGTTTTTAGCATACGACAGAGTTGTGCAACTATTACCATGCTGAATCTTACAGCATTTCAGTCTTCCCATAGAGAAACACTATATTCACAAACATTACTCTCCATTCCCACCCAGCCCCTAGTAACTGCTAATTAACTTTCTGTGTCTGTGGATTTGCCTGTTCCAGACATTTCATATAGATGAGATCATCTAATATGCAAATTTTTGAGGCTGCTATTTATCCATTCATCTGTTGCTGCATATTTGGGTTATTTCTATGTTTTGGCTATTATGAATAATGCTGCAATGAACATTAGTGTACAGCTTTTTGTGTATTTGTATTTTTCTCTTGGGTAATTACCTAGGAGTAGAGTTACTGGGTCATAATTGTAATTCTGTGTTTAACTCTTTGAGGGAATACCAAATCTGGGGGTTTTTTAATAGAAAAAATATAGTAAAGATGTCAGTTCTCCCCCAGATTAATCCATGGGTTCAGTCCAGTCTCAAACAGTATGCTAATGGAATTATTTTTTATTTGTATCCTGATTCCAAAGTTTTCCATTTTAATATTTACAGTGAGTATTATCATTTTTTTAAAAATACTTATTTTTATCTGTGCTGTATCTTCGTTACACATGGCCTTTCTCTAGTTGTGGAGTGCAGGGACTACTCTCTAGTTGTGTTGTGCAACTTCTCACACCGTGACTTCTCTAGTTGCAGAGCATGGGCTCTTGGACACATGGGCTTCAGTAGTTGTGGTGCATGGGCTCAGTTGTTGCACAGCTGTAGGATCTCCCATGAGCAGGGATTGAGCCAGTGTCCCCTGCATTGCAGGGTGGATTCTCAACCACTGGACCACCAGGGAAGCCCCTGTTACCAGCTTTATAATTAAAATAAGTCACAGAGGCATTTGCATGTTGGGAAATTTAAGTTTTTAATCAACTATAAGAATGAGACAAGAACAGATTTATTTTTGGGAAATTAATACTCAAGTGAGAGAAGTATGGATGTAAGATTGGCTAGCAATCCTGTTTTTGTTTTGTTTTTTGCTTTTTCCCTTTTGGCCGCATGTATGGCATGTGGGATCTTAGTTCCCTGATCAGGACTTGAACCTGTGCCCCCTGCATTGGGAGCACAGAGTTTTAACCACTTGACTGCCCGGGAAGTCTCAGCAGTCCTTTTTTATTACCCCAAGGGAGATTATTGGTGAATTAAAAATTTGCTTTCTTCATTAAGGAGGATGACAATTCATAATTCTACCAAATTTCACCTGCCTTCTAAATGCATTCTAAGAAACTCTCCTGTTGATTTTCAGATAGCTACTCAGAAAGCATGTGGTTTGGCTCTGGCCAAGCTGGGCCATGCAAATGACAGAGTTATTGTGCTGGATGGTGATACCAAGAACTCCACCTTTTCTGACACATTCAAGAGAGAACACCCTGAGCGCTTCATCGAGTGTTTTACTGCTGAGCAAAACATGGTACGTGTGCTAGGAACATCGCTTTGAGTCATCTCATTGACAAATGGCTACCCGCTCGAGGAGGCCTGCCCCCCTTACGGTTTTTCTTTCCACTTATAAAAGCCAAGGAAGTGGAGGGAAAAAGTCTCAGGGAAACACGTAGAGAGCAGTCAGGTAGAATGTGAGGGTTGGCTTCCAGGATTTCTGGGACAGGCATGGTTAGATGGCCCCACACACTCTCCAGAAAGTCTGCGGGCTGCCGCCCTCTGATCTCACGGCTCCAGGTCTGAAGAATGCCCAGCTCCCTAGTAGCTCTAGGTGGCCCCTGGGATGTTGTAGGATTGCCTGGCTGTGGCCAGTAGGTGCAGAACCTCAAGGGATTGTGGTTTGTCTCTCCACCCTGGGGCCTGATATAACCTAGATATTTCAGTGTTCGTGCAAGTAAATGCCTTGACTTCTCAAGTTCTGCACCCGTGCAGAGGACAGCACACATTTATTGACCCTCACATCACAGAGGCCAGAAACAGCACCGGCCAGAAATCTGTGGGCCAGTAGGCCTCACATGACCAGAGATATTTTGTTTGGAACAAATAGTATTTACAAATATTTTAAATTAGTTGCCAGCTTTTTAAAGTCAGGAAATTTTTATATGGAATCCAGATTTCTGGATTTTTCTTAAAGAATGGGAAGATCTGGCAACACTGGAACAACATTCCCTCCTTCCTGCCACCAGTTGGCTGGAGTCAAGCAGGGGCCCTGTTTAGATGGGCATCCACAGCCATCTCACCATGTCCCTGCCTCTGGCTGGCCTGCTCCTTTGTTCACGGTGCTTCCCTGGCCCTGTCAGTGTTGGAATCTAAGCCCCTCAGTTCAGTAAACCAGGTCATTGAAATTGTAAGGATATGAGCATTTTTCAGTGGGTCTCCTTATTTCTATTTTGAATGGAAAAAAATACAGCTCATATTTTTCTGAATTGAGCCTCAAAAGTTTGCTTCCCTATGCATTGATTCGTTCAACCAGCAACTGAAAAAAAAAAACCTAGTAAAGAAGCAGCCAGCAAGTGAGTAGTGTTCTGTGCTGCCAGATCAAACTGGTGGCTACGGGGAGAGCATGACTAGGGCCAATCAGGAGCAGGCTCTCAGAAGAGGTGACATTTAAACTGAGACTTCAGCGACAGGGAGTCCGTCACGTGCAGATCCAGGGACAGCATTCCCAGCAGAGTGCCCAGCTAGCTCTGCTGCATGCCCAGATTGGAGCTGTTCAGGGAGCAGAAGGAAGGGCCCAAGACTCTGGTGTGGAGAAGAGCTTGCTGAGGGAAGTAGGGGAGTGGCAGGAGATGACAGCTTGGATCAGGACAGTGGCTGTGGGTTTGGGGAGATGCAGACTCATGCAGAGTAGATGACCAGGTGGAACCAAGGCTGGCACTAGGGCATAGGCCAGAGCACCTGGGAGACAGACAAGACTGGGGCAGGAATGGGTTTTGGGGACACAGGAAGTCTCACTGAGCCCTGCGGGGTTAGACTACCTCTTAGACTGGGGGTAGGGATGCCAGGTAGGTCAGAAGGGATAGATCATTTATCTCCAAATATGTTTGCTTTCCAAACCGCTGAATGTCTTTTTCTAAGTAGATCTAAGCTTTAAGTTAACAACTAAATTTTTCATTGAATTTTTTAAGTTCACATCTAAATATATTCTTGGCATCTAGATTTAACTGATGCCAAGGATGTAATTTCCCGTATATTATAATTTGTGACACTCGAATACTTAAATCATCCAGTTAGACAAAGGCTCTCTCTGTCAGAAATTAAATGTTTTTCCACCTGAATTCTTACTTCCATTCTACTACTTATTCATGGAAGCCTTTTACTGATAATTCTTCAATAAACTATGCATATACATTGATGGTTTTTAAAATTTGTTTCCTACATCCACAGGCCTTGGAACATTACCATTTTTTTCTTCTGGATTGAGCTATGGCTATAATTTTTAGCTTGTGTAGCAGTAGTTAAGTACACTTAGAGCTAGAATGAGACAAGATTCAGAACAAAACCTATTTCTATTTAAATGATGTAAGTTCCAGAAAACCTTATTCAAGAAGATATGGTGCTGGGAAGTGAGAATTTTGTTGCAGCAGCGTCATTCAGTTCATTTGAATCTCGTCCCAGCTATAAGCCGAAAATCACAGTGATCTTTCATGTCCAGTTGTTTGTGGAAAATTACTTGTAAAGGATTGACACTTAGGTTCACTTTCAGTTTTGTTAAAAGAATTGGAAAACCCCTGACTTACGGAAGGATTTGTTATCCAGTCTTTTGAGCTTTGTAGTTTCTCAAGGCTGCTGTGATTATTTCAAATTATTCTTTCTGTTTCTGGAGCTCTTACATTCCAGGATGTTGCCCCACTGAAGGAACAACCTGAGGTGGGCGAGAGTATGCCTTTTGGCAGTTAGTTGCTGAGAGGCGATTCTCAGGGAGACAGTGGGAAGGACGCCCTGGGCCCTTTCCCTAGCAGGCAGATGTGGGAGTCAAGGATCTTGATGTTGAGACCAGCCAGCCACAGGCATGCGCCCTTTGGAAGGTCTCTGTTTACCTCTGAGATACTCATCTTCTAGTTTGAAGGCCACCAGGGTGTGTGAGCCTGGCTTTGCCGGAGAGGTGAGCAATAGAGGGACAGAGGAGACCTTAGCATCATGCAGATCAGAATGACACCATGGGACCCCGTGCTGGTTCCCTGTGAAGAGGGCAGATCAGGAGGAGTGTGGCACTCAACCCCAGGACTTAGTCCAGGTGCACCACCTGGCAGATCCAGTCAGGGAGGGAGCAGCAACATCCAGTGAGGCAGGCGTTCCCTAGTGCTAGATGCTCCTCAGAGGTCAGATGCGATGCAGAGGAACTCAGGTGACCTCTTGCATTTGGCAGGTTCCAGGTCCCTTATGGGGATGGCGGCCTAGATGATGGAGAATGTGCAGAAAGTGGGAGATGAGGGAGCATGCAAGGTTTTCCTGTGAAGGAGAACATGGATGAAGTGCAGGATCTGGAGCAGGAGCACAAGGGGAAAGTGAGGGAGAAACTGAGGTGACATGGGAGGGGAGGGGACAACTGCATGGTCAGAGAGGCCCTTGAGAAAGCAGGAGAAGGATGAGCTTCAGCAGGGTGGGGAGAGGGGACAGAGGCAGGGGACGAGGAGAGTGGGAAGGAGAGCCACAAGGACTGCAGGGTGGCCTTGAGTGTCTCGAGGTTCCCCAGCTTGGATATGAAGGAATGGGTCCAGCACTTCAGTTCCTCTCATTTCTGGCAGTGTTCAGGGGACACAGTGAATTTGCCAGGTTTGGGGTTTTCCCATGTGGCTGGAGGAGGGGTGTGGCAAGGTGAGGGGGCACAAAGGATAGGTGATCCTGAGAAGCATACACTCTACACTGGGAAACAGGAGGGGAAGTGGGCTCCAAGAGTGTTCTGATTCAGCTTCTCTGTGATGCAGGTGAGCGTGGCACTGGGATGTGTCACCCGTGGTCGCACCGTGGCTTTTGCTTGCACCTTCGCTGCCTTTTGGATCCGAGCATTTGATCAGATCCGGATGGGAGCCATCTCGCAAACCAACATCAATCTTATTGGGTCCCACTGTGGGGTGTCCGTAGGTATGAGTTCTCAATGCCATCATCTTAATTGCCCTCCTCCTTTACAGAGAAAGATCAGCATGTGAGCAGTTGAACTGCCCAACATAGAGTTCCATGATATTAGTTTGATTATTTGTAACCAGTTTTTTGAAAAAGGCCATTTTAGAAGTTCCAGAAACTGGGTAACTTTTTAGCTGATCTCCTGGTATTACTGTAAAGTGCCCATTGTTTCAGTCATTGAGAAATACTTATCCTCAGTGCCTCTTCTGTGTCAAGCCACATACTAGTAGTGATTAGGCCACTCTGGCATCACAGAAGTCTTTCCTGCTGTTTGGTCACCTTAGTCTGAGTTGGGACAAACAGCCTGCCAGGGCTCTGCTGGGATAAGCAGCCTGGTTGGATAGAATGGGAAGCCTCGAGGTGCCCAACATCGGGGCATTAACTGTGGATGGGAAATGGGGGAGCCAGGAGGAGGATGGAGGTGTGCATTAGCACTGGATAGAAAATGGAACAAACTTGCAAGAGCCTGTGGAAAGACGTCAACATTGCTGACAGGAGAAGTCCCAAGCTGCATGAGAAGCAAAACGCCAGTGCCCAGTAGTTTCTTGCCTAGGAAACATCTGGGAGTTGTGTTTGTGGAGGATAGCAGTGGGGACTCTAGAAAGATGGGGCACCTGACATGCCTGTGGCAGGGCAGGTCATCAAGGTAGATGTGACTGACAGCTGACCCTTGTTGCCAGAAGGCTGGAGGGGAGGGCTGGAACTGCACATCTGGGTGTTGTCCCAGGGACTTCCAGGGAGAGCTTGAGTGGCAAAGGAGACTCTCTGTGGGCCAGATTCAAGGGAAAAGAGGAGAGAGGAGGGCCTGCACAGGGGCCTCTCCTGGGGCTGGGTGCAAAGTTAGTTTTCAAGTCAGCCAAGTGGAAAAGTGGTTCTAAGTCCAACCCAGAGGAACTGAAGTTCTTTGGAGAGACAACAGTCCCAGGCCAGGCAGTGTCCATGATGGCAGTCCCCTTCCTAGCTGGAAGAGCTTGGACACCCTGGTGTACATTGGGTTCAATGAAGTCCATGAGTTCCAACAGTACCCCCAGGGCACCCTGAAGGTATGTTCTGTAATGCTCAGCTACTTTGAAGGCCATGAGAAATGAGAGACCACTCGAGTCTGAAAACTTTCATCTCTTGATGGAAAAGGTAAAAGCACAGAGAAGAAACAACAGAGTCTGGAGGGACCCTCCTCGGAGAAGAGGACACGGGAAGAGTCCTGGTACCTGGAAGAAAGTGCGGGTCACCTAGGGCAGCAGTACCCGTCACACTGAGTGCCAGATGCTGGCGAGGCTCGAGGCCAAGAAGTGGCTTCTGCTGTGTTGCTTGCAGTGTCTGTGGCGACTGTTGGGATGGTGGCTCCCATGGCAGGCAGCACAGTCACTCATCCAGTGGAGGGCAGGCTCCTACTGGGGTTTCTTTGTTGGGCTATGATTTTGCTTTCTCAGGTGAAGACGGCCCCTCCCAGATGGCCCTAGAGGACCTAGCCATGTTCCGAGCCATTCCGAACTGCAAGATTTTCTATCCAAGTGATGCCATCTCGACAGAGCATGCTGTTTTCCTGGCAGCCAATACCAAGGTATTTCTTAGAGAACGCTGGTGCAGACAAACAATGTGTCTGGGCTCTGCTGCTAGTTTGGTACTGATGGTTTGATATTACTTGTCTCATCATAAAGGTAATAGATATTTGTCACAAGTAATTTGATTGCAGCCTTTTCTTGGCTGCACTGGGTCTTTGTTGCTGCACAGGCTTACTCCAGTTGTAGGAAGTGGGACTTCATTTCTAGTTGTGGTGTGCAGGCTTTTCATTGTGATGGCTTCTCGTTGCAGAACATGGGCTCTAGGGTGCACACAGGCTACAGTAGTTGCGGTGCATGGGCTTAGTCTCTCTGTGGCATGTGGGATCCTCCTGGTCCAGGGATCTAACCTGTGTCCCCTGCACTGGCAGGCGAGTTCTTAACCACTGGACCCCCAGGGAAGTCCTGTAGGATTCCCTTTAAAGATAGAACCATTACCCCAAAAAGGGTAATAGAAGCATGTAGAACATGAACACATTTGAATTGTAAAAAAACAGTGCAGAAAAGGTCAAACTCCCAGCGACCTGTATGGGGTGGGACCTAGGTCAAGAAGAGGGGGAAACTGTGGGACTTGGGGACTGGGAGTCCTTGGCAGAGCCAAGCCCACTGAAGTGGGCTCCAGTGACAAGTCACCAGGTGCAGGTGTTAGACTCAGAGTGTGTGACTGCCACCTCGTGATAGCCAGAAAGCTGGAGAGTTGTCAGCGGCAGCTGCAGATGAACCCTAGAATCCCCAGCCCTGGCTCACCCTCCTCAAAAACTGCTTAGAAGGGTAAGAGTCTGACTTCTGCCCTGCCTGCCCCTCCTGAAGTCTCACCCGGGGCATCAGTTGGACACAACCTGGCTCTTGTCCAGAACCCAGCTGCAGGGGCTTCCCTGATGGCTCAGAGGGTAAAGAATCTGCCTGCAGTGCAGGAGACACAGAACCCTGCAGCTGAAGGAAAGTTGAGGGAACAGAATCTTTACCTTTCCAAACTCTGCAGCTAGCAGTCACCGGACTCACCTCACCACCACAACCCCCCAGCCCTGCACACAGCCCTGCACACAGTTGAGGTGGGTCATGCAACATGCAAGTTCCATTCCTGGCATTTCCAACGTGTGGGAGACATGAGTTTCTTTGACTTTTTTTTCTTTTTTCTTTTTCTTTTTTTAACATAAGTGGGCTCACACATGGTTCTGTACTTTTCTACTTGGTGTATTATCCTGGACATTATTTTATGTCTGCACATACAGCACAAGCTCATGTGTGCTGTGGTATCTTACTGTGGAAAGTTCAAAAGAGACATCAGAATAGAGGTTGCTCCTTGGGTGGGAGAGAGGCATGCGGGAACTTTCTGGGGAAGTACAGATGCTCTCCAGTCTGAGGAGACAGACAGATACATGGTGTATAACTTGTCAGAATTCAGGGTGTGCTCCACTTAACTAAATTTTACCTCCTAAGAATGTACTGAACAGATCTGGTTCATAGCATGTAAATGAACAAAAGGAAGCAGTGTTTTTAAATTAATGTATTAGTTTATCATGTATGATTTAAATATGTATGTAAATCAACTATTGGGTTCTCAGGTGGCACAGAGAATTCACCATTTCCCCCTGTCAGGGGATCTTCCCAACCCCGGAATTGAACCCGGGTCTCTTAGGTCTCCTGCACTGGGAGGCAGGTTCTTTACCACTAGTGCCACCTGGGAAGCCCTGTAGACAGAGGAGCCTGGCGGGCTACACAGTCCATGGGGTTGCAGAGTTCAACATGACCTAGCACGCATGCACAAAAATTAACAAATACTCTATAGATATTTGAGTATTCATTTATAGTTCTATTTATATGTTCAAGGTGATGATGATGAAAAAAATTGACATCTTCTCATTGGAAGATGAGTAATTTTATGTTCTGGTATCTAAGGTATTTCTAAGAATGAAGTATTACACGCTGTTGTGACAAAAATTGTTTACCATTATGTTTTAGGGTTTCTATTCAAGGCAAGTAAGTGCTCGTGCCCCGAGTTTACATTCTGTCGAGACAGAACAGATCAGGGTGTATCTGAGGAAGCTTTCCCAAAGGGGTGAGCATGATAGCATGGAGAGCTTGTCACTGGGCATCCAGCAGCTTCCCTCACAGGCTTTTGCCTCCTGATCAGTAACACCTGACCTGTTGCCAGTGGTTAGAGATGGTTATCCCTCGCTCCAGAATGTACATTTTGTTTTTCGTACTAAGAATTGTTCATTCCTTCCCAGCTGCTTTTTAAGGTTTATTAGTTGGAAATTTAGTTTTATTTTCTAAACTGTGGCTCTGGTATTCATTTACACCCTAGGGGATGTGCTACATTCGAACCAGTCGGCCAGAAACTGCAATTATTTACACCCCACAAGAAAGCTTTGAGATTGGACAGGCGAAGGTAAGGCCTTAAGTTCTCCTGTATCTTCCAGTATTAGTTTGTGTTGGGAGCACTGTTCTTTAAAGCCAGAGCTAGGGGCCCCGACAGTTGAGGCTTCATTCTTCCTTTGTTCTAGTTTTTTTAAAAATTCATGATATTTGCCTGCTTTTCTTCAGAAAGTAATATTCTGCCAATGTCAGCCTGAACTTAACATTTCTCCTTTGCGAAAGGAGTCTCTGTTGAACCCTTAAAGATAAATAACTTGAAGACTCTTGAGTTGCTTGGCTGTACGTTACCACAGACAGCGTCAAGCTAAGAAAATGATAGAACCCATTTCAAATGAGTAGTAGATCTGAGATCTGTTAGGTTCTTGTTTTGCCCATTGGAGGCCAGGAATATAACAAACATGAACCATCTTGCCTCTGGCCATCGTGTGGCCCTGAGGTTGGTTTTGTGGGATGTGGATACACCTTCAGGCCTGCTGGGTGCTTCCTATCTCCTATGTTCTTGAGAAAGCCTTGGAAGCACAGATAGTTAGCAGCCATATTTTGAAGATGAGGGCCAAAGAAGGGTAAGCAGCAAGCCCAGTAAGCAACCCGCTGTCTGTGGGCCTGCCTTTCAGAGTTGTGTGTGCAGAAAGCCAATAGCATCTGTGGAGAAAATACATGATTGTCCAACACCTAGAAGGCAGGCCTTACAGACGTTTGGGCATGTTTTCTTCCTGACTTTTTCTAGGTGTATATCTTAGCTGAGATCATGCTGCGTAGGACTGTTTTATGTCCTGCCTTTTATCTTATAAGCCTTTTAGAATACCCTTCTTAAGTGTTTAAAAGAATGATAGTCACTCTTAAAGGAGCAATACGTGACTTCCAACTTGATTGATAAGGGCTAGGCTGCTCCAGAATTCACAGTGGTTGTGCTCAGAATGAATAAATGAGCTCTGAATAGCTTTAGTGCCACAGGAGAGCAGGTATATCCAGAAGAGTTCCTAGCCCCCCCATAGTTTCATTCCACTGAATGGAAAAGCTGAACTCTTCAGTGTAAACTACAGGTGCTGTTGTTCCCTGGACTCCCACTCAAGGCCATCTGTTTGCCTCTGGGGGTGGCAGGGAGGGTGTCTCGGTGACAGTCATGTGGTTTTCAGAGTTTTCACATCTCTCTCGTCTTTTTTTTCCCTGTGATGTTTGTCCTATCCTGACAAAATGAAGTAAATTTCCTGATGTGAGTTAAATTATGTGTGATAATATGCATGGCATGAATAATTATAGGCTGGGTTTGCAAAGGGGCATATAGGTGTGTGTGTATATATTTACATACATGCACATACAAAGGCTAGGACATTCTTAAAGGATGGGGCAAGTGGTTTGAAACCCTAAATATCTAGTCAGCAGTGGTGCTTATGTTACAGGGAAAGCTATAGAGAGGAATGCAATGCAGACTAATTCCAGGTGCCTTTGGTTGGGTGACTTTGAAAGAAACAAACCAATGAAAAAAGAGCAGAGAACCCTGTCTGCTTATAGACTAGCAGATGGTTGGGAACATGGGCTTTGAATTCATATGGGTCTGGCTATTGGTCTCAACCCTGCCTTGGGTGAGTTCCTCCTGTTCTTAGGTTTGCTTTCCTCGGTCACAGAATGGGCCCACTAATGCATGGGCATCACAGGGCACTTGGGCATGCAGGATGCTTGGAACAGAGCACCCCAAGGTGCTCTCAAATAGCCTTCATTAGCATGTTCATCATCAGAGTCCAATCTGCATGGATGCCCCCAGAAAGAGGCCTGAGCAGTCCAGAGGTGGTGCCTTTTCAGACCCCTTGGTGGGGCTGAGTCCATACTGGAGCAGATGGGCTGTCCAATTTGCTTCTGGCCTTCTGCCTTTCACATTCCAGTTGGAAATCCACCTGCTTTGGTAAAGGGTCATTTTGCATACATACTGTAAAAGAATTTAGTGATTTGGCATTGTAAATCATGAGGAAAGGTAGACAAATTTGTTAAATAAACATGAAGTGGGGCTTATTAAAGAGAGAAGTCCTTATTGGTCAGTGTGCTGAACTGTGAAGCACTGAAATTGGTAGGCTCTGGAGAGCAGCCTGTCCTCCACTTGGGAGACTCATTCCGTGTAGTAAGCGCAGCACTTTTGTTTTGTGGGCACACCACCAGGTCATCCGTCAAAGTGTGAACGACAAGATTACAGTTGTCGGAGCTGGAATTACTTTGCACGAAGCCTTAGCTGCCGCTGATGATCTTTCCAAGCAAGGTCAGTTGGGGGTTACTGAATACTGAAGTTTGGGCTGGAAGATGTGGAGGTTGGGCTGCCTGTCTGCCCCAGTGCATCTTTTTAGTCTAAGCCTGCTTGATACACTAAGCTGGTTATTGCTGTTTTCCAGATATTTCTATCCGTGTCATTGACCTGTTTACTATTAAACCTCTGGATGCTGCCACCATCATCTCCAATGCAAAAGCCACAGGTGGCCAGATTATCACAGTGGAGGATCACTACCCAGAAGGTATGTGCAAGCCTTGGGGGCAGACCATTTTGATAGTCTGCTTTGGTGGAACATGTTTTGTTTTCCTTGACCAGAAGTATGCCATGACCATGGGCAGTCCAAGTCCCTGCAGCCAACCACTCACCCTGTATTACTTGCTCTTTGCAAGGGTGTGGGTGTAGGGTCTCTTGCACATCTACAGTAGCTAAGGGAGGTCTCATGTCCATCCTCATTTGTGTGTGTACTCAGCACAGTGTGCCCTGCCTGGTCCTTGGGTGGCTCAGTGGCAGTACAGAGGAATGTCTAACTTGGCATTGTGGCAGGAGGGATCGTAAGAAGCTTCACAGTTGCTCTTGTGTATTGACTGATTCATAGTTTGCCCCTTGCAAAAATTGAAGACAGTACCTTGCAAGCAGAGAACACAGCAAATGGAGGAAGTGTGGCCAGGGAGAGGGGCTGGGCAGTGTTTGGCCAGGGAAGGTCAGGTAGAGCAAAGGAGTGAGTGGGGAGCTTCATGTGTTCATGTGTCAGGGGCTCCAGAGCAAGCCCGTGGTCTGCAGGGAAGCACTCTCCAAGGAAACGGCACACACTGGGACCCCCAGGGGGCAGAAGACACAGGTCAGGGGTGAAGACCCCATGCCTTTGGTTCCCTCTCTCTCTCTCTCCCTCACTCCCTCCTTTGGGGGGCCCCCAGCTTGCTCCCTTATCTGGCGGCAACAGATGCCCCCCTGGAGACCTAGGGAACCCACTCGAGACTCACTGCCACGAGTATTATTAAGGGCTGATGGCTGCCATTCACGTGCCAAACTTCCCGACTCCCAGAGGAAAGCAGGTGCGCCCCATAAACCACCCTGTGGTGCCAACAGCTGAGGCACAGAGACCACTCTTAGCAGTAGAGAAAGTGTCTCATTTATATCAAGGACTCGCACCAACCTACTGCCCTGGCACCACCCCCGGGCCAGCCTTGCACGCCAGCCTTTCCGAAGTCAGCAGCCAATTCTTGGGCTCCTGACAGGTTTGAGACTCTATCTCCACAGATCCTTGCGTCCATGGAGCCCCAGTGGAGATAACCCCAGCCATGAGTAGGGCTGGGAGCAATTTGAAGACTTGTACTTTTGAATGAGAACTCTTCTGGCCAGTTAGGGAACGGTTGTTTATAAATCAGTGCCTAGTGAGAAACATTTCTCCCACGGAATCACACATTCAAAGGTCTCTACATGATGGGGTTTTGAGGCTGACGAGCTGCTTCCAGAACAGACCCTAATATCCCTTGCTTCTGCAGGTGGCATCGGGGAGGCCATCTGTGCAGCCGTCTCCGTGGAGCCTGACATCGTGGTCCATCAGCTGGCAGTGTCAGGGGTCCCTCGGAGCGGGAAGCCCAGTGATCTGCTGGATATGTTTGGAATCAGTTCCAAACACATCATATTGGCTGTGGAACGTATTTTAATGCAATAGCTTAGCTGTTGGCTTTGACCAACAGACTGGCCTGTTTACCTTACCTTATGTTTATGCTTGTTGCCAAATGATCACTTAAATCTCTGCTATTGTGCTTTATTCTTTTTAAAAACAATGCAAGTTAACTGCTTTCTTGTTAAGCCATAACTACATATACATGTATAACTCTTACCTTTGAATCATTAAAGTGGATTATAAGAGAAAGTTTGAAGTGACAGAATAGCTAACAAAACAACCATCTAATAGCAAGTTTTCTGATGAGACTAGAGATAATGGGGTAGAGACCAACATAAGGTAACAGTTTCTTAAATGTGTGCATTTTCCTCATAACTTAAAAAAAAATGTGAATTGAATTGTAGACTGCAGTCACCCAAGTTGGGCAGCATTATACCACCATGCTGCCCACTGATGGCCCGTGTATGAGGTCAGGTGCTACTATCCTACCTGTAGCCTTCCAGGTACTGTGTGACTGCAGTTGGTGTGGAATTTCCTCTGGTGTTTGCCTTCATCCCTCCTCTCCTGTGCAGAGGCTGTGGAGCAGCGGTGAAAGTTCTTAGGATGTCCTGTGCTGTTTGAATTGACTGTTCTGTGAAGAGAGGACACGACTAGGTCTGACCTCCACACTGTGCTCTCTGGTGAGATCTCAGGAATGTCTTATTTACCCAGTGACCAAACCAAACTGTTAGCTCAATTGTACTCATCTACTGACGATACTAAAGTTGATGTTAGTAAAGCAATGAAGAATCGGCTAGCTGTTTCGCTCTGTTTGTGCCTTATATGTGTGATTTGGTTTCCCCTTGATAAGATCCTAAATAAGGAAGAAGCTGTTCTTTAAACCAGGATAGAGATCCATGTCCCCATCAAGCCCTGGAAAGGGTAGCGGGCAGGAGTTCGACCATTAGAGGACAGTATGCAGCCTGAAAAGCCAGCCCTGAGCCAACTCCTTATTTTAGGTCAGAGCATTTAAACCATGTGGTTGGAATACAAGAGAATACCTGCCAGATAAATGAAAGCTAGACCAGAGCTTCAAAACTAAAGTTGACTGGATGTATCTGGTATGTCGTGGTCCTTATTTCTATCATTCTCACTAACTGGTCATCAAGGGGTTTTTGTTCTAGAATGTGTGCTAGAGATGGAAGAACCAGTCTGCCACTGAGTCGTCTTCAGGGCTTAGTCTTTCTGTTCCTGGCTTTTTAAATCACTAAACTGGTTCCCTGGCCTGTAAAATTAGCATAATTAGTATGTTTATTTCATAAGACTTCAAAAATTTTAAAAATAGTTGATATAATTGATAGAAAATATATCAAATTTATCAAAATACAAAAATACTAAAAATACCAGGGACTTCCCTGATGGTCCAGTGGCTAAGACTGCACTCCCAATGCAGAGGGCCTCAGTTAAATCCCTGGTTGCGGAGCTAGAGCCCACATGCTGCAATGCTGCAAGTAAGTCTTGGTGCAGCTAAGTAAATAGTAAGTAGTTGACATTTTTCTATAAAAATAACAGTTGATTACAGGGTCATACAGAAAATTGATAAAATGCAAATAATCAAAATTTTACCTCACTTAACTGGACATCTCACATTCCATGCAGTTCACCCATTGAAAGAATACAATCTAGTGGTACTTAGCATACTCAGAGAGTTCTGTAACCATCACTGTGGTTCACTTTAGGACATTTGTATCACTCCAGAGAGAACTGCACCCCTGAGTAGTCCATCCCCATTCACTGTCCCAGCCCCTGGTAACCACTCATGTGTTTCCTGTTTCTAGGGATTTAACATATTCTGGACATTTTGTATGAAGGGCATCATACAGTATGTGACCTTTTTGTCTCCTATCTTCTTAGCATAATGTATTCCAGGTTCATCTACATTAGAGCATGTTACAGAATTTCATTCTTTTTTATGGCCATATAATAGTCCATCTTATGTATAGACTGTTTTGTCCATCAGTTTGTAGAAATCTGGATTTTTTACAAGCAAATAGACTTTTTTTGTCTACTGTGGATAATGCTACGAACATTCATTTTCAAGTTTGTGGATTATAGTTTTACTTACATTGGGTGTATATAAAGCTAGGAGTTGCCAGGTCATGTGATAGTTCTGTTTACTCTTTTGAGTGTGTGTGTGTGGTTAAAGCAGATTGATGAGGGGTGAATGAAACAATGACCATAGTGGTACCATGACATCTATAAAGCACTCTAAGGTAAAGCCATTGTGAACACAGATAAGCCAGGATGTGTGACCATGCACCACACTAGCTTGTATTTAGATGTATAATGCCTGATTTGGGGATATCCACAACAAATACTGTGCAGCAGTGCACTGTTGAAGCCTAAATGGAGTTCCAAATACAATCCATGGTAAAATCTCCATTCCAAAAGACTTTCAGGCCCCCACAGGTGTTGGGCGAGAACAGAAGAGCTGATCTTAGGAATAGGGGCTTGGAGGAGAGATGATCATGTAGGAATAAGAGTGGCCCAGCTATACCTCCAGGGTGCAGAGTAGCCGAGGTGATAGGGTACAGGAATGCTGTCAACTGGTCTAGGCACTTAAGTGACTGAATGTCCCTTGATTGTTCTGGAGCCACAGACTCTGGTGACCCTGCCGCATGATTCTAATCTGCAGGTCGCCTACTCATGTATGTAAAGGTGAACTGTCACCCATTTTGGCCTGTTTTATTTGTCAAAGCGGGTGACAGTGCTGAGGATGGAGACAGCTTCTCCCATAGGGCTGTGGCCAGGATTTTAAAAATGTCATATAAATGTCCCCACTGAGGGCTACCCTAGCTTGTGGTGCGTTCGCACTCCCCAGCAGTGGCTTCTGGACTCCGTACGCACGCACGCACACCAAAGCCACTTTCCAGCCTCACTGGGATCACCCAGGTCTCGGCAGGGAATGGGCCCCGCCTCCTCCCTCTCTGGCCAACACTCTCCTAGACAACCTTGGCAGCTCGAACCCCCCACCTCCGACCCGCCTGTACCTACCCACCATTTGGCCACTGCCTGGCGAAGGCTTGCACCCCACCCGCCCGCCGGCTCTCTGCACACCTTGCGCCCGCCTGCCCGGGGCTGGCCAATCCGCGCGGCCCGGGCCACGTCATTGGGTTTTGTCCGGTCACTCACTGAGCCTTAGCCAATCAGCGTCACCTGCACCGCCCCAGGGGGTGGGGCCGCCCTGAAAGAGGAGACTGACGGTGTGAGGCTGCAGCCTCAGCACCCGAAGCAGAGAGAGGCCCGCGGCGGCCTGGGTCCCCATAAACAAGCCGAATAAGGGCAGTGCTCCCAACCTAGGGCTGACGGCCAGCAGAGAGCAAGAAATATGGCCCGAGAGAAGAGAAAGCTGAGGTGGTTGAGGTAGGGGTGGAAGGACGGGGCGGGGGCGTGGTGGTGGATATGCGTGAAGGCGCACGAAATGCTGGTGGCAACCGTGTGCAGCACAAGCCCTCCGGGACATAAAAGGACAGAGAAAGTGATGCCACGTGGAGAGTTGGGGTCTGGGAGTGGAGTCCTCCAGTCGGAGCATGCCCACCTACAGATATGCCTCCCAGGGACAGCTTTACCAGCCACCAGAGAGGAAGACAGGTACATTCTATCCCCCTACTGTGGCACAATACCTTGCTGGGCCATGCACAGGATGAGAAACGGGGTGCCTGACACTCAGTAATCCTGAAATGGTCCCCATGGGGTTCCCTGCTTACTGAGAAGAACAAACAGAAAACTTGCAGGCCACTCAAGCAGGAAGGGAGGAGTGTAGGGGAGAAGGGCAGAGATGAGAGATGTCCCCACCCATACTGTATCCCTGTGCTCTGGATCATGCAGTAATTGGACCCACTTAGGGGTCTAAAGGGCTTCCCTTGTGGCTCAGCTGGTAAAGAATCCACCTGCAATGTGGGAGACCTGGGTTCCATCCCTGGGCTGGGAAGATCCGGGGAGAAGGGAAAGGCTACCCACTCCAATATTCTGTCCTGGAGAATTCCATGGACTGTATAGTCCATGGGGTCGCAAAGAGTCGGACACGACTGAGTGACTTTGACTTCACTCACTTCACTATGGGTCTCGTGGCAACAGGACGTGGTGGCAGAGGGTCTGGAGGACAGTCTGTGTCCCCTTGCAAGGGATCAGCACCAGGTGAGGTAATGACACAGTCCTCAAAGGACAGAACACCAGCCTTCCAGACACAGCTGGGCAAGCTACTTCCGTCCGCAAGGGAGGCTCTGGGGGACTGGGGGCTTGCCCATTGTCAGCTTCCACTGAGGGCAACCAGATATCCCGAGTCTCAGTTTCAAGGCCCCACTCGGCCAGGCAGTGCCCTGCCTTTTACCTAGGAAATACAGAGAGGCTGGGAATTCAAGTGACCTGGGGATTCTGCAACTGCACGGTGGAATGCTGTGTTTGATTTCCAGTCCCGTCAGCCCAACAGGCACAGGGGAATTTGCAGGCTGCCATGGAAGAGCTGTGGCTGTCATGCTGTGACTTGAGCTGAGAGGTAAGGCAGGTGTCCTTGTCAGTTTCCTCCCAGGGACACTGCAGTGACTGCACAGCCCAGCCTTAGTCCCTGGCATTCCCTCCATGACAGTTCAGGGTAGCAGCTGCTCTGGCTCCTCAGGCACTTGCTGTCCTTGGCCCTTCACCCCATTCGAGTGCAGGGGGCAGCATGGTGACTGCTGAGACCCCCGCAGGTCACGGATGCCTCGAGCCCAGGTGGTCACACAGGGATGGCTCGGAGGGCTGAAGGCACACAGTGAGTACAGGAAGCAGCTGTCACCCCAGACCCAGGAAAGAAGGGAAGGGGTTGACGTCATCAGAAGCCCGGAAGCCAGGAGGAGGGGCCACGAAGACCGGCCCATCTCTCCTAAAGGTCAATGCCTTGTCATCTTCTGAGTCATCTACATGTGGTTTGCTTCATCAGCTCAGATTTTTATTTCAAAGACTGGTTTTGTGTCTAACACTAAAGTTCTTTTTTCATTTTAAAATCCGCCTGGACTTTAAAAATTTGT